ATTGGCTTATATAATTTTATGAGCAGATTATTAACATAATTAAATTTTTGTAGCATAGGGCAACTGCTCAAGGACTTAGAAATCGTACTGAATCACCACGTCGACCTTTCGTGCTCTCACGATCATTTTTTGCAGGTTCTCAACGATATGGTGCTATTTGGACGGGTGACAATGGTTCAAGTTGGGATTATTTAGCCATATCAACTCCTATGCTATTGACCCTGGGTATTTCTGGGTTGCCATTTTCAGGAGGTATTAAATGGTCAACTTGTTTAAAGAAGAAAGCTTGATGAACTTATCAATCTACTAATCTGTTACTCTAGTTGATGTCGGTGGATTTTCTGGTGATCCGCAGCCTGAACTCTTTGTTCGATGGTGTCAAGCAGGAGCTTTTGAACCCTTCTTTCGTGGACATTCTGATAATTATACAAAAAGACGTGAACCATGGGTATTCGGTGAACCATATACCGGTTATGTTCGTGATATAATAAAAGAAAGATATTCGTTGTTACCTTTATGGTATACTCTATTCTACGAAGCCAGTACCACTGGAATGCCAATTATAAGGTACGTAATAATATCTGGTAAATAAAACTTTCAATCTCGTTAATTTCATTTTTTATCAGACCTATGTTTGTAGTCTGTCCTGACGACGAACAAGTCTACGAAATGGACGATCAATTTTTTGTTGGCAATTCGTTACTTGTCAAGCCTATTGTAAAGGAAGGCCAAACATCTACTGAAGTGTATTTTTCAGGAAACGAGGTGAGATATAGGTTCAGAAATATGATGTATTAAAATTTGATTGCTAATTCGATGACATATAATTTTCAGATATATTACGATTATTTTACATTTGGAAAAGTTCACGGGCCCATTAAAGTTCAAATTGATGCCCCTTTAAACAAAATTCCTGTCTTTTTACGCGGCGGATCCATTATTCCAAAGCGACAGACAATTCGAAGATCTTCTTCCGCCATGCATTTAGATCCTTTTACATTAGTGATTGCATTAAACGAAAATGTGAGTAATATATTTGTGTCTTCATTTATTTCAATATTTATTAACAGCATTTTTTTTCTTTTTTAAGAGAGAAGCAATTGGCTCTTTATATTTGGATGATGGTGAAACTTATGATTACGAGAAAGGATATTTTGTTTATCGTCAATTTAGATTCTCTGCTGAAAAATTGGCGTCCACGTCATTATCATTATTTGATAATGATAAAAATATATATGAGCAGTCAATTAATTCCGTTTATGTTGAGCAAATAATAGTATTAGGATTTGATTTGAAACCCAGCAGAATTATTGCACATTATAGCAATGCAACTTCTGATTTTGAATTACAATTTGAATGGAAAGACTTTGATGCACTCATTATAAAAGGCTCTAATCTGTTGATTACTAAGGATTGGACAATAGAATTTTTGACATAATTATAGTCACTGCAGGCGTTTTACTATATAATAGGGTAGCTGCACGACATAGTAGCACTAGAAACGTAATACGCCTTAAGATACAATTTTTTTAAAATATGGATATTTATTGTTGAACATGAACAGAATTTAATAATAGCGTTTTAAGCTGTATATTTAATGCGAATTAAAAAAGTGTGACCTAATCTGTAATCAATTTGTATTGGTAATCTAATTATAGCTCCGAGTATATAGTTTTATAGGTTAGAGTTTTTTTAGTGTAGCTACTTTTTTTCACCTAGTATTAATGATAACTTCCATATGTTTTTTTTTATGTATTTCTTTTTACTCCTAATTGTTTTTTCTTTTCCTCTTCCCTACGAAACGAAGTCATCAGATTGGGCCTGACGGTGGTAGCCAGATGATGTTATTTATTTTTGAACCATTATGTACTTTTTTAATACCTAATAAACAAAAAAGGTCCAACATGGCAAGACTTGTCTAAGAGAAAAAACAAAATTATTAATTTTTATATTTATTTATTAGTTTTATAGATATATATAATTTCTAAAATTGAATTGCATATATGTTGTTTATGATAATAAGCTAAAATTATTTATATTGTAATTGGTTGAAAATTTTCACTTTTTTAAAAATGCTTAAATATATCTAAAAATTACTAAAACACACCTACGTATAGTGTTTTATACCTATGAATACATAATCTCAAAAATTGGCAAATTAATCAGTGTGAGATGTCCTAAGTAAAATGTTTACGCTCCCAAAAAGCCTTCCAAATCTTAATTCTAACCCTAAATACTAACTCTAATATGAAAAATTTTGTGCTAAAAATTTTATATACAAAACTTAAAAAACAGAAAAATAATAGAAACACATAATAGGTATAAATACTATAAGTATGTTTTATAATAACTATTTTTGTTGCAAACTATGTTTTAAATTGGTGCTTGTGTAAAATCTAAAATTTCATTATATAATCTCAAAAATAATTTATTTTATTAGAAATTATATAACAAAGTATATTTAAAAAGGGCATTTATTTTTGGTGCACCCCGCACCGTGTGCGGGGTCACGTGTACATACACGTAGTTACACAACATTCAAATCGTGTAACGAACATTCCAACTTCGCAGCCCGCAATATTGCAAGTC